CTGTTCTCATCACTAAAAGCATCTAGATCTTCTATAAGACTGTGTTACGTTAGGTAGAAAATCTGCTAGACCTGTTGCCTACATATAAAACACACAAACACACACAATCTGCTCCTTGTCTCTGATATTGGTATAGATAGAAACCACTAGATTCCCTTTTAAGAAATTCTGAGGGCCAGGCATGGTGGCTCACGCCTGTAATCCTAGCACTTTGGGAGGCTGAGGCGGGTGGATCACTTGAGGTCAGGAGTTCAAGACCAGCCTGGCCAACATGGTGAAACCCCGGCTCTACTGAAAAAAAAAAAAATTAGCCAGGCATGGTGGCAGGTGCCTGTAATCCCAGCTACTCAAGAGGCTGAGGCACTAGAATTGCTTGAACTCAGGAGGTAGAGGTTGCAGTGAGCCGAGATCATGCCACTGCACTCCAGCCTGGGCGACAGAGCGAGACTGTCTCAAAAAAGAAAATATGGTGGGCTTACTTTTTCTTCCACTGTGGCTGAGGAAACTGATTTGAATAAAAGAATTTCAACTCACTTCTACTGAGGTTTTACTTTCAAAAGGATTCAGAGACTAAAATGAGAAAAACAAGGAATATAAGTACCGGCCACGCACCATAGGGAAGAGATCAAGATGCAACAAAGTACACCAAAGCCTTAGAACTACATATAAGAGAGAACAACAAAGAAAGCAAAATCCGACTTCTGCGCTATGTTCTGAAGTTAGCAAAACTAAGCCTAAAGGGGTTAGAAAAATACTTCGCTCTGGATTTAAAACATAACAATGTTTTAAAACTTTGTCTGTATTAAACACCCAAAATGATTTGTATGGAGAGTAACCTGGAGGGTTACATACCAAGCAGTTACCCATGGCCACCTCTGACGCATGTGAATGGGGAAAACAGAGACCTTTTCATTTCGTAAAAATTTAAAAGGAAAAAAACAAGGAAGTATTACTTATACACTAAAACACACACACAGTATTTCTAAGGAACTTTGGTTGGATCCCTAGAGAAATCAAACAATGCCAGCTCATAAATCAGCCTGGTAATGCATAGAACCACCACCCACCGTCCTCACCCATACCCCTACACACACATCTGCTAACATTTAGGACAACTATATTATCAAAACCAGGACATCCTGGAGGGTGGAAACGGGGGCACTAATAATTGCATAAGGAAACACATAAACTGGGAGGGTTCCAGGCAAACCTGGAGGTTTAGCCACCCTATGTGAATTAGATGCAACTATGTGGACCATCTGCTTTAAACTAAGAAAAAGACCTTGAGATTTTCTACCAGGCAAGGATTGATAAGGAAAAATTGCAGCATGCCCATTATTGCTTATTTAGCATGTTATCTTTAATATTTTACTTTAGTGATCAAAGTGGTACTTGAGATTTACATGGATTTCCTCTCAGCCTTGTTTCCTTTTACTCTTTTTCCTGTAATCTTTTCCCCCTCCTCCCAAAAAGAGATATTATATTTCTCAACCAGGTATTTTCTTTACATAGAGGTTTTCAGGAATATAATATTCATGGTGGGACAAGAATATTACATGGAAGGAGAACATTTGAGTTTACAAATATTTTAACAAATGCTAAGCTATTTAATTTGTTTTATAAACATCCTATGGGTTGGGAAGGCATTATTATCCACATTTTACAAATAAGAAGTGTAAGGCCCAAAGCCAAACAACTATCAACAGCCATTTAGGACTAGAAGCCAGATCTTGAGCTCTATAGTGAAGGCACTCCACAATACCATGAGGTTCATCATCTAAGTCCTTTCTCCTTTAGCCTGCCTTTCTTCAGTGACATACATTCTTGAGATTTTATCTTGGTTGTGGCTCCCATTTCAGTAAAACCTAACATAAAAAAACTCTGATGTTCATTACAGAACAGTAGCTAATTATGTACATTAAAAAGAACTTCACACTGAGGAGAAAAAAAAAAAAATCCCGTAGATTTCAATATTATTTTTCTCTTTCAATAAAAGTATGACAACTCATAAAAATGTGATACATCTACAACTTTCCAGGAATACGTTCATCTTATAAACTTAAATATACAAATAAATAATAACTATTTCCATATTATCTCAATGGATTATTAATATAAAAGCCCTGCAAAAAGGCAACTTTTAGGATAAGAAATCTAAAGTCAGAAGATTCAGTGACTTATACAAAGTCTCACTTATAGTAAATTATTGAGCTACAACTAGGACCTGCTGGAGTTTTCTGACTAATAAAAGGCCAGAATACAAGCCTGACTCCACTATGAACGTACACTCAATCATTCCTTGAGAAAATGAGATATTACACTTGGCCCCCTATATCTGAGTATTCAATATACGTGGAGTCAACCAACTGCAGACTGAAACTATTTTAAAAATCAGCTGGGCATGGTGGTTCACACCTGCAATGCCCACACTTTGGGGGCTGAGGAGGGAGGATCCCTTAAGCCCAGGAGTTTGAGACCAACCTAGGCAACACAGGGAGATCCTGTCTCTACAGAAAAAAAAAAAAAAAAAAAAAAATTAGCTGGGCGTTGCAGTGGTTGCCTGTATTCCTGGGCAAGAGAGTGAGATCCTGTTTCAAAAAAAGAGAGGAAAAAAATAGTAACAACTATTTACACAGTTTTTACACTGTATTAGTTATAAGTAGTCTAGATATGCTTTAAAGTACACAGAAGGATGCGTGTAGGTTATACGTAAATACTGTGCCATTTTATGTAAAGCACTTGAGCATGGTAGATTTTGGTATAGGGGATGGGGCATGCCAGACACCAATCTCCTGCAGGTACTAAGGGACAACTGTACTTGTCCCCACCTAACTTTAGAACACAGTGTCTACTATGCCAAGCACTGTTCTAGACAATGGAGATATAGTAATCATCAAGACAAAAATCCTGACCTGGTAGAGTTTATACTTTAGTAGGTGATATGAACAACACACAAACAAACATATACGGTATGTCAGATGGGTATAGTAGAAGGAGAATAAATAACAACAACACAAAAGAATGGTGAATAATAAGAGGGTAAGGGAGGTAGAGCCTACAGGGTGCTATTTTACATATAGGGGCCAGAAAATACCTCAAGGAGCTGAAATTGTGAACAGAGACCAAAAAGAAATGTGGGAGTAAGCCACGGGGATTACCTAAAGGGAGAGTGTTCCAGAGAGAAAAAACAGAAGAACAGCAATTATTAAGTTTGAGATGCTTCTGAAACATCCAAGGACACAGTCCAAACATCAAAGACCCAGTCAAAATCATGAATATGGAGAGACAGAGAGGTGTGTAAATATATTTTTTGATTTTTACTTATTTTCAGTTGAAATGAACATTTATTGAGTCCATATTAAATAACACAGAGCTAAGAAATGCCCCTGCCCCATCCATGCACAATTTACATCACCCAACCCAGGATCAATGTCTTGCTGTTTCTCCTCAGCTAGGTACATCCTACATTTCACTAGTTTTCTACCATTATGCAATCTCCTATAGTGGAGTGACAGGCTTGTCTTAAAGCTCAGAATCTTCTTAGAAAGTAGTGGATAACAGAGTGATAGTCACAGCTAACAAAAAATTTGCTTTATTTAAACATGCGCTGAGATGGACTCATTGCTTCCTGTGAATCTGCTAAGCTTGTCTGTCACTCTAATCATGGGCTCTTGGGAATAAACAGCATTCATAATAATCTTCACTCGTGGCCAGGTGCAGTGGCTCCCGCCTGTAATCCCAGCGCTTTAGGAGGCCAAAGTGGGCAGCTCACTTGAGGTCAGGAGTTCGAGACCAGCCTGGCCAACACAGTGAAACCCCATCTCTACTAAAAATACAAAAATTAGCCAGGTATGGTGGTGCACATCTGTAATTCCAGCTACTCAGGAGACTGAGGCAGGAGAAACACTTGAACCCGGGAGGTGGAGGACGCAGTGAGCTGAGATCATGCCACTGCACTCCAGCCTGAGTGACAGAGTGAGACACTGTCTCGAAAAATAATAATATTAATCTTTACTCATGTCATAATTGTCACTCACAAGCTCTCTGAAATGGATTATAATCGGCTATGGCCTCAGCAGCTTCTTCCACAAAGCTAGAGTTGGCTGACTCCACATCAGTAGAGAATTCCAAAGCCTGTGTGTTCTGTGGTTGGCTCCAGGTCCGTGGTCAAGTCTAGGTTAACGGTTAAATCTCGGTCTGCGGTTAACTCTACATCAGTGGTCAATTCTAATAGGTCAGTGGTTGATTCTGGGAGTAGTGTGGAGAAAGTCACAGCCAGGGCACGGAACACAAAGAAAATCAGGACCTTCCTGAGCACGGTGCCTCCAGGGAGGGCAGAAGCATCTTTTTTTTTTTTTTTTTTTTTTTTTGAGACGGAGTCTCGCTCTGTTGCCCAGGCTGGAGTGCAGTGGCCGGATCTCAGCTCACTGCAAGCTCCGCTTCCCGGGTTCACGCCATTCTCTGGCCTCAGCCTCCCGAGTAGCTGGGACTACAGGCGCTGCCACCTCGCCCGGCTATTTTTTTTGTATTTCTTAGTAGAGACGGGGTTTCACCATGTTAGCCAGGATGGTCTCGATCTCCTGACCTCGTGATCTGCCCGTCTCGGCCTCCCAAAGTGCTGGGATTACAGGCTTGAGCCACCGCGCCCGGCCAGAAGCATCTTGAACTATATATTTAAATACCACCTGGTACTTAAAGCCACGAGACCAAATGAGACCACCCAGGAAGTGAAAAGAGAGAAAAGGAAAGAACTAAGGACTGAGTCCTGGGGTCACATAACATTTAGAGACAGAAGATAAGGGGCTTAGCAAGAAACTAAGAAGGAACAGCCAATGAGGGGAGAGGAGAAGAGATGTGTCCTAGAGTAGAGTGGGAAAACAAAGTTTCAGGAAAAAAGTGATCAACTATGTCAAATTCCACTGAAGTTCAAGTAAGAGAGCTGCTAGTTGACTCCTGGATTTAGGAATGTGGATGTGGCAGACTATAGAAAAGGAACATGTGCTCGCCTCAGCAGCATATACTAAAATTGGAACAATACAGAGAGGATGAGCATGGCCCCTACACAAGGATGACATGCGAATTCGAAAGTATTCCATATTTTGAAATAAATACATAAGGAACACAAATTTTTCTTGCAGCAGCTTCCATCAACAGGTGGAGTCTTATTTTCCCACAACTGAATCTGGCTTGGCCATGTGAGTTGCTTTGGTCAAAAGGACTTTAAGCAAACGTGACACAAGCACAGGCTTTCAAAGTGCTTGTGCACTGGGGCTTTGTTTCTCTTTTGCTACTAGAACTCTTTCACCATCATGTGAATGAGCTTGCTAGAGGTGAAATAAACAATCGGTGCCCCTGCTGATGTCAAATCAACCACCACACACAAGTGAGGTCACTCTCGCCAGGAAGGCCACCAGGCCAGCCCCAACCAGAATTGATCCACAGAATTATGAGCAAATAAAATGGCTTTTGTTCTAAACCACTAAGTTTCGGGATGGTTTGTTATGAAGCAAAAAGTAATTGATAAAGAGGAAGATACCAGTAACAGACAAGAGCTGTTTCAATGGAATCATGGGCATAGGAATCTGACTGGAGTTGGTTAAGAATGAATGGATGGAAAGAATAGAACACAGGGCCTCCAGCTGACACCAGCTGAGCTTTAGAGGCTTTCCTTTCTAACAGGGCTATTTCCTCAACCAGAAAACTATGTCATTACACTGTTTTCTACATACTCCCTACCCACTTCCAAAGCACCTGTGAGTAGGCCCAGTGGTACAGTGGCAAAGTCCTACTGCAAGCACTTTCCCGGGTGCATCCAGTTATACCCAACCCAAGCACACCTGCTCATGGAGGCAGACAGGATGGAGGGGTGAAAGAACTACATACTCTGCTGCTTCACCGCCATTAAAGTAAACCAATAAACTTGGTATTATATTTATACCACCTGTCACTAGGAGTGTGGGGGTGGGGATGTGTGTATTGCACGGATGTCTCCTTACAGGGTACCTAACCATCTCCTGACAAGCCTTGACATGTTCATTACTTGTCATTTTCCAAGTAAATTCTCTGATCAGAAATTATAATCACATTTAAAAGCATTTACAAAAATTTCAAAAATAGCTTTTCAAAATGTCAAGAATATCTAAATAACTTACTTGGCAATCCGCAGTTTCCCAACTTCACCTCTTCCAGGGGCTTTAGCCCATTGCTGTGACAAATATTTGGGAACCTAAAACAAAGTAAAACACTAATAAGACTATTTTAGATGATAACAGATCTTTTCAAACATAAAACAATATACTGCTTCTATTTTTATTTTCTGCCTCTAATAAGGGATCATTATCAAGTCATCACTGTATGTTTTATACTACATGAAATACGAAGACACGTAAAAAATGATTTTAGCACCGGGCATGGTGGCTCACGCCTGTAATCCCAGCACTTTGGGAGGCCGAGGCGGGCAGATCACAAGGTCAGGAGATCGAGACCATCCTGGCTAACACGGTGAAACCCCGTCTCTACTAAAAATACAAAAAACTAGCCAGGCGCAGTGGCGGGCGCCTGTGGTCCCAGCTACTTGGGAGGCTGAGGCAGAAGAATGGCGTGAACCCGGGAGGCGGGGCTTGCAGTGAGCCAAGATCCAGCCACTGCACTCCAGCCTGGGCGACTGAGCAAGACTCCGTCTCAAAGAAAAAAAAAGATTTTAGCTCTCAAAAGAGCTTAATCGAGGTGGCAACACAAAACTAACATAGGTCAAATAATCTAACAATAATAAAGCACTAACTTATCTTCCCAAGTCAGTCCAATTAAAGGTCACAGAACAGAAAGGTTACCAGAAAAGGCTTCTCAGAAGAGAACAGCACTGACTACAGTAATAGCATGATTTAGAAACACCACTGGGCTTAAGATTATTTCAAAAGTCAAGTTTTATTATGTAGAAAATTGTAACTTTGACTACTGTGAAGAAGAAGCTGCTAATATAAAAGGGTTATCAAACAGCATATCTAACATTTATATAATCCTGCCTTCCTGACACTGTTGTAAGCACTTTATATAGATTGACACATTTAATCCTCACATCTCTATGGAACAGGTCTATTACCCCCATTTTATAGATGATGAATCTGAGGCACTGAGGGACTATACAATTTACTCAAGGTTATATAATTAGTAAAGATGGAGCCAGGATTCTAACCCAGGCAGTCTGCCTCCAGGGACTGTGTTTTTAACCAATACACCATATTGTGTCTGTAACTGGATACATGCAATCAAAAGGACTATAATTCTCAAAAAGGAGAAGTAGACGATATATGCCGAATCCCTATTATATAACTTATCTATCTCATTTCTTCTAAAAAGTAATTTGGACTCGAATCAGTGCATACTTTGAAAGCTATCCTATTATTAGGAGTAAATGAGATACACCAAGTATGAAGCATAATGCCTTACACAAAGCAAGTGCTCAGTGTCAGGTGTCATTATTTTTTCATGATAAATTTGGAATGATAGTCCAGCTGCCAAAGCTGAGAAGGAAAGAAATTCTACCTAGCAAGACAAAAAAACACCACTTGACCACTAGTCAAATAAATTGCAGTACCTTGGAACAGCAAAAATTCAGGAATTGAAGGGTGAAAAGAAGCCCCTGATGGTATTTGTTCACTTACATACGCACTCCTCACACTAAAAGTTACTGAACAGGGCTGGGCGTGGTGGCTCACGCCTGTAATCCCAGCACTTTGGGAGGCCGAGGAGGGCAGATCACGAGGTCAAGAGTTTGAGGCCAGCCTGGCCAACATGGTGAAACCTCACCTCTACTAAGAATACAAAAATTAGATCGTGCCAGAGCAAGACTCCATCTAGAAAAAACAAATAAATAAACAAAGTTACTGAACAACTATTAAACATTATGGGTTCACCGGGCGTGGTGGCTCACTCCTGTAATCCCAGCACTTTGGGAGACCGAGGAGGGCAGATCACTTGAGGTCAGGAGTTCGAGACCAGCCTGGCCATCGTGGCGAAACCCTGTCTCTACTAAAAATACAAAAACTAGCAAGACACAGTGGCACATGCCTGTGGTCCCAGCTACGTGGAAGACTGAGGCACAAGAATCGCTTGAACCCAGGAGGTGGTGGTTGCAATGAGCTGAGATTACTCCACTGCACTCAAGCCTGGGTGACAGAGAGAGACTCTGTCTCAAAAAAAAAAAAAAAAAAAAAAAAAAGAGTTAGACAATATACTTGAGTCAGTCAGGTACCATGCTAAACATCCATTATCCTGTTTCATCCTTCCAATCACCCTGCAAAATCACATTCTCCTCACTCTACAGATGAGAAAACTGAGGTTCAGAGGGTTGAAATAACTCAGGTAGCTAGGATCAGATTCAAGACTCAACTCCGGACAGGTCTTTTGCTTTCTTCACTAGACCATACTACCTCTCAGGAGGGTATATGTGCTAAAGAAGAGTATGTAAAAGATCTAAGGGAAAGAGGATTTTGAAGATTCCATATCTCAACAGAACTTCCACTACACTGTACTCCATTCATCCAAACAAGCTAAGAGGATTTGGCAAACTCCTTATGATAACTGTATCTACCCACTCGGTCTCCTTTGATTACAGGTGACAGAAAACCCACTTAAAAGAAGATTTAATGTGACAAATAACAAAAAATTCCAGAGGTAGCTTTAAGGTGGCTTCATTAAGGGCTCAAACAATGTCCCCAGGACTCTTTCACTATTTCTTACCTATCACCTCAGGTAGCAAGATGGCAGAGGCAGCTCCTGAAGAGCACAAGTCTCCTTCCCAGAAGTCCCCAGCGAAAATTTGTCTTTCATGAAGCTGACAAGGGTGTGTGCCCTTCCTTAGACCTATCACTGTTCCCAGAGATGAGATACTTCACTGGCCAGGCTGAGTCAATGACATCTTTGGGGAAGGGTAGTCAACATCACTAAAATCACACAGATTGAAAAGGGGAAGCACTGGTTTCCACAAGCACAGTCAAGATTCTGCAACAGTGTCAAAGTAAATGGATACTGGTTAAAGAAGCATATGTCCACAACATTACCTGTTGGACAGCCTACGAATTTCTCATTATCAACAGCAGTACCCCTTTCACAACCTGTATTTCAAGCAATTATTCTGAGCACCATCTCCTAAATTCCTAGCTCTCTCCTTCGTACTTCTGTTGTGGAATCAGGAGAACCAGGGAGAGACCCTGGGGTGAATACAGGAGGATATCTTTACTGAGTGCACTCAGACCCAACGGACTTAACATCCAAAGACTGGGCCCAGAACAAAGACAGCACTTGACTTTTATACACACCTTAAAAAGGGGTGGGCTAGCTTGAAGCAGGCTTACAGCGGCGCGAACGCAGGGATACAGAGGCAGGACAAAGACGGTTAATCAAATTGTAACAGGTTCACAACTCAGGATTACACATGACTGCTGCTATGCAGCCCAGATGTCCACTATCTAGGTTTGCCTAGTGCCTAGCACAGCTTATTCCATGGCTTTCACTATGGCGCCCAGGTGGCCTGCTCAGATGGTTTATGGACTTCACCCCACTGATTAGATAAAACAGAAGACTAGAAGTCACCAGTTACAGAGAACAGGAATTTTACAAACTGATACCATAAAACAAAGGAAAATTTGTTTTTCTTTTCCCTATGTTGAGGGAGTGCTGGGAGAGTCTCCAGAGCACATTCTTTTGTGTCCTGGCTTCTTAGATAGCATTATCAAGACTTTTTCTGGGTCTGGGCTGTGCCCATTGCTCCCTCTGGGACAAGTTAGCCTAATACAGGAAAGATTATTTCCCTTTTTATTTTTCTTTCTTTAATTTCCCGCCTCACTTTGACTCCCAACAATTCTTCTAACCCTTCAATTCGCTGACTCTAATTAACATCTTCTCACTGTCCCCCATCTGCTATGTCCTCATTTCTCTCTTTAATGAAACTAGATTCCATGGTCCATCACTATAATCATTCCCTTGCCTCTATCTTCCTCCGTCATACTGGCCTGGCAGAACCTTAATCCTGATTAAAGCCAATCTCTACTTTTCTTTATTAATTTATAATTTATCCATGGTTTTATTTTATTGTGTTATTTCACCTCTCTGCCACACTTGCACCTGAGCAGCTGAAGGAAAGCTCACGATCATGCTAGCTGGTCTCACATTAAATACATGGCTACAAACATCAAGTAAGCCCTTAGTGACACCTGGCAAGTTAACTACATCTCCCTAATCAATTCAGTTCCTCACTCCTGATTATTCAAATATTCTCTTTTCACTTCTCGAACCTATACCTCTTCCTTCCTCCTCCCTCTGTGCTGACCTGACTTCCTCTTCCACCGAGGAAAAGCAAACCATCAAATCTAAACTTCTACATATACCACCTAGCCACAGTTGGATCCTTTTACTCACTTTACCCTCTTTAAACAATGGTAAACTATGGCCAATCCCTCCACTTGTGCACTGAATTTCTTTCCCTGTTATGTAACTAACCGAGGACATCTTTCCTTCAAGTATACCCTTTCTCTCCTCTATTGCCTTCTCTGCTTAATCATTCCCATCAGCACAATAATGATAATAACAGCAGCTAAGACAAAGTGCTTACTAAATGTAGCAGGGAGATTTCTAAGACGGTTCCCAAGGATCCCACCTGCTATCAACCCCATCCACGTACTGGTGTAATCTCCTCTCCTTCAGTGTGAGCAGTATCTGTGACTCAGGGCAAAAGTGACAGGACTTCACTTCTGTTACTGGGTTACATAAGATTATGACTTCTGTCTTCTCTCATTGTTTTCTCAGTCTGCACACTCTGATTTAGAAATCTGCCATATTGAAGAGGCCCACGTGGCAAAACAAAAAACAAACAAAAAAAACACTAATGACCGGCTTCAGCCAAGAGTCAGCTAGGGAACTTGGACTCTTAAGTCCAACAACCCTGGAGGAACTGCATTCTACCAATCACATGAGCTTGGAAACAATATTTCCCCAGTCAAGACTTCAGATGAGAATCCAACCCTGGCTGATACCTTGACTATCGCCAGTGAGAGACTCTGAGGCAAAGGAGCCAACTAAGCCATGCCAGAGTCCAGCCCACAGAAACTGTGAAATAATAAATGCGTGTTGTTTTAAACTAATAAGTCCGTAGTAATAGGTTATATGCCAATAGATAATTAATACATTAAGCAACAAGCACTCTTCTAAATGCTGTAAATATATTAACCA